GAGTATAAAACTTCCCCCCAAAATCTTAAAAACCTAGGTTTTGGGGCTAAAAATCCGCTGACAGCACCCAAGTAATGGTAAAAAAAAAACAGGGAAGAGATCAATTGGGAAATCTCAACCCTAAAGTAAAACCAGGACACAAAAATTAACCAAAACCAGGTTAATAAAAAAAGAAAGAACTTTTATTACAATACTCCTGTTACAAGCATGGTTGGGTTGCCTGGATGATAAGAGCCACCAACTAATAAACTCATGGGGAATTTTCCCATGGGGAACAAAACTTAGTTACAAAAGAGAGGAAAATCCATTTCTAAATGCACAGATATCAGATTCCCATTCCCAAACCATAAAACAATAAAACGGATTTATCTAAACTTTATCCTACTTACAGATAGTGAGGAGTCTTCTTGGAGAGAGACATGATGTCTGTCTCCCTCAGTATCTGGAGAGAAACTACCAAGGGACAAAGGAGGGAAAACCCCCAAAATTCCTTTGTCCCAGTTTGAAATTCCTATGTACATTTCTATTGGCCGACTCTACCTGGCTTAGGTATAGTAGCCCCTTAGTCCCCAGGCTGCTGGCCATCTCTCATGATCATGACAGCATCCAGGAGGCCCTGAGGGAGAGGTTCTCTCATGTACCCCAGTAACTCTCCCCAGGGCCTCCCCAATAGGGGGCCTCTGGTTTGCTGCCCTATCCCTTCCCCACCACAACCACTCCCTTCGCCCCTTCCCTGACCTCTCAATAAAAACATCTGTGTTGTTTCCAACAAAACAAAGTCTGTAATTATATTACATTGTTAAAAGGTGTGTAGGGGAGAGGGGCTCATAACCTGGAGGGGGGAAGCTAGATGTGCCACCTCAGGTGTGAGGACCTTGTCAGAGCTGGGGATGGGTGGGTCTGGAAAAATCATGGGGTTAGTCAGGAGCGGAGCTGGAGAGAAGTTGGGGAGGGAGAAAGGGCATTTCTTGGAGAGGGGGCATGGGCATTGCTTGAGGAAGGGGCATTGGCATCACTTGGGGATGGAGCAGAGATATCGCATGGGGGGCAGGTGGAGGGGGAATGGGCATAGGAAGGGGGGGCAGGAGGGTAGAAGCCAGGAGCAGCGGCATCAGGCAGGTGTGCCATCACGCGCAGTATCTCTGTTTTCTTCACATTGGACCCTGCGACCATGGAAGGCCAGATGCCTGCCTTGGCCCTAGCTGCAGGCACAAGCTAAAAACTAATAAATTTATAGTTGGAGACCAGACCAGTTCATCTGTAGGTCAGTTTGCTCAAAATAGATATTAGTCTTAGAAGAATGTATTGTTAGTGTTTATACTCAGTGAAATGTTGAAAGTTGCTGTATACCTTAAACTCACTTTCAATGTTTGTATTCCATGCAATAAGAAAATATGTAACTTTTGCTTTATAACTATGAAAATATTTGCTCCGAACTTGTGAACGTAGGCATAGGAATGGTCCCCTCTATCCTTAAGGTGTATCTACACAGCAGGTCTTAACTAGAAATAAGCTTCGCAAATTGAGATATGTCAATTGTGTGGCTTATTTCGAAATAGCTTATTTCAAAATTGGGAGCATCTACACAGCACTTATTTTAAAATAGAGCACTCTTCCTCCTACTTCCCTTACTCCTTGTACAATGAGGTTTACAGGAGTTGGAGTAAGAAGTCTTCCAGCTTGACAGTATGTTGACATTATTTTGAAATAACTGCCTGCTGTATAGATGCAGACTAAGTTATTTCAAAATAACGCTAGTTATTGTGTAGACATACCCATACAGAAGGACTATCAATATCAAATGGGTCATCAAGGATCATTCCATAACAAAGATGGGCTAACACCTGGGAAATGCTATGTGCAAGCAAACTTGTACTTTGGCTTGGAATCTGAATGAAAGAAGGAACCCCAAGAAAAGTTTCCATCTTTTTGGCTATTTGAACTCTGAAGGACGATAGACTCTGAGGCTTTGTCTACACTACCATGTTTTGTCACCAAAAACTGCCTTTTGGTGACAAAACAGTGAGAGCATTCACACTGCAATGCAACTTTTGCTGGGAGAAATACCAAGCTTTGGAGACAAAAACTTCCAAGAGACATTTACGAGTGACTTTTTTCTTTTCCTCTCCCTTTATTGTCGATGAAGAGCCAAGGCAGGCTCTGCTGATTGTTGACAAAACTGGCTTCCCCCAATAACCACAATGCTTGCCCTGATGACTGTGTTCAGCATTTTGTGATCTCTGCTGCCCTGCTGGAATGTGCCCCTCCCCTCTCAAAGCTGTGGGACCTTTCTGATAGCTGAGTGTGCTGTTCCATTTGGGGAACAAAGAGCAAATCTTTGGAGTGCTCCTTTGCTGCCCAGTACTTGGAACACAGCAGAAGGCAGACTGCTAATGCAGGAGAAAGGGGACAGATGCTGTGCAATTTTGATATTCCTCAACACGGAGGGCTCACAGAACTACTCAGGATGCCATACCCGGCAGCTGAGAATGCTGTGGGAGAACTCTCAGGGAACCCGAAGATGTGCAGTGATCAGCTCTGCCTTCCCACAACATGGAACTGTGGGATACATTCCCACAGTGCACTGCTCAAACTGTCGATGATGATGTCCCCAGTGTAGACATAATTGGTTGACAGAGGGAGCAAGTGTGAACACCCTCTGGAGAATTTTGTTTTGTTGTGTCGGCATAAGTATTGTCAACAAAATTTGGTAGTGTAGACATAGCCTCAGCCAAAGATCCCTGCAGCTGCTTCCTGAGTCCACACTGCAAGACACTTCAAATTGACAGATTATCCTGTCACTTTGAGGAGTAAGATGCTAACTCATTTGTGTGTATATGTTATTTTGCTTTAATCTGTAAATAGCTCTCATTTTGTTGTCCTAGGGAATGAACCTTTAGATAGTTTATTACAGGAAAGGCTACAAGTGCTGTCTTTGGTGTAAGATCTAGGTCACAATTTGATGTGGGGTAAGTGAGTGGTCTCTTGGGACTGGAAGCAATCTGAATGTGGTGTGATTTTTGGTGGAAGTGACCATTTATCTATGTCCAGTTTGTCCAGGTGGCAAAATAGACTGGAGAGTCTGAAGGTAGTGGTAGGACTACTGTTATTGGTTTGGTGAAATCTAATTATAGAACACACCACCACTTCGGGGTGTATGTCCTTGTTTTGAGAACAGTGAGCCATTGCAGACAGTGTGACAGACCCAGTTCAAGAAAGCATCCATATCACTCAGGCTATTACTCAATTGTGTGCTTACAATTAGGCGTGGGCTTAAGTCTCACTCATGTTAATAGTACTGAAAAGGGATGTACGTAAGCTCGTGCTTAAATGATGTCCTGAATCTGCAACACTGGTTCTATCTGTTATTGGTACTCGACAGGTGCATTTTAGTATAAGGAGACTAGAAACGAAGGCTTATTCTTCATCTTAAGTTTAGCATATAGAATCTGTTTTAGGATGAATGCCCATTTACAATATCACATATATAACTGACAAAATCTTGTTTAGTTAAAAGTCTTCATTCAACTTCCATTGGCAAACACATCTCTACTCACCAAACTTCTCTGAATATTATTTTTGGATTACATTATTAGGAAATCCAGTCTTTAAATTTAAAAAAGGAACCGACATATTTTACTCAGAGGTTGACTATAAGGTTTTATTGTATTTGTAGAATAAATTCCATGACATGACTAATAAAATATTTGTAATCCCTGCCAGTGGAATTCTGCTCAGGTGTTCATTGCATTCATTACCAAACTTGATAACCAACAATCAAAATAGGCAACATTTTAAGTCATCTATTTAATGCCCAGAACAACAACCCAGGATTAGAACAATTTTATTAATCTTAACAATAAAGTACTATATATAACATGCTCTAGCTAAATAGGAATATACTCGAGAATGGAAAGAGTTGAGAACTTCAGGATTAAGTGAAAATCCACAAGAAGCTTCCTACAACATTCATATATGGCTTAATACTGTATATTTCTAGTAGTAAAAATACACCTAGATAGCTATGCATGAATATGATATCCATGTTTGTTTATATTTTTCTTTCATAATTTATTTGTGAAGAGCAGAACCAGGAAATGTAAAACTAAGTTTTATTTTCTAGAGATAGCCTCTTTTCTTTGTTTGTTTTATATTTTTTTCTAGCTCTTAAGGTCATGAATTACAGTCAATCTTAGTTCTAAAGTCAGATTAACCTTCACAGGTGACAGCAGGTAGCAATTGTAGTGCAGACTTTTCCACGGCAGATCTTCACTTGGAATGCTGGCCCAATAATGCAAGCCTACTGAAATATACCCTTTGTGATTTCTCCTTCTCTAAATGGGAAAAGGCAATAAACAAACATGTCTAGATGCACTGTAAGGCTGAAACTTGCTACAAATTCCTGAACTGAGTGGCAGTGCCAAGTCATGAATCCCCTGTACCTATAAATTATAATCCCCAGAGAAAAGGCCCCTTTGCTAACCAGTAAGGCTAGAATTTTGAAGTAATCCTGTTAGGACAGGAATAAAATACTGAGAACAGCATGAAGGGAGCTATGCGTACAACTCCTGTGATAGATAATGGGTGCTGTTCATATAATTCCCCTTTAACAATCTTGTTTCTATGAACATCTGTCACCATCATAATTCATTTTCACTCTTAGGGGCAGATTTCTCTCTGTGAGAAGCAACACTAACATTTCAGCTCAAGACAAAGGCAAGATTACATTGTAACTGAAGAGACTTAGGGTGTGTCTAGACTACAGGGTTTTGTCAACAAAACTATACCTGTGTCTACACTGCCACTGAGTTCTGTTGACATAGCGTTGACGGAACTCAGCAGTTTTGTCGACGGCTGTAAACCTCATTCTACGAGAATAATGCCTTTTGTTGACACAGTTCTGTTGACAGAAGGCGTTATTGCATCTACACTGTCCTTTGCATCTAATGGCTTGCTTTGTCGACAGAACTGGTAGTCTAGATGCTCTTTGTCGACTAAAGCTTTGTCAACAGTATGTGTCGACAAAAATTCTGTCAACAAAAGCCTGTAGTCTAGACGTACTCTTAAATTTTACTGAAAGAATTAGGCATGTGTATTGCAAACCTGACACTGTGTTCTGAGGCTAATACAAGCTAGTTTTGTATCTGAAAGTGCCTTAACAAATGAGAAATTAATCTGTCTTGCTTAAAGGTAATGATAAACTGTAAAAACATTCAAAACATAGCAAAAAGTAAATGTTACTGGACTATGTTCTGGAATTACTGGAACCAAAGTGACAACTTTAAACACACATAATATGTTACACATAAGAATGAAAGCACAAATGTACAGTAAATAAGTTTATTTATACACCAAGAGCATAATATGTACACATAGGGGCTTCTGTGCTCCTAGAACACTAAGCAGTAACTCCTGTGGCATACCATCTTAAAGCAGTTTTATTATACAATAGTTTCAATACAGTGGGTGCAGAGAATACACACATTAACACTAAGCTGATATTCATATACATTTACTCTTGAAATGTACAAATATAAGAAACAAAGGCCATAAATGTAAGTGTATCTATACCACCAAGACCTCCTCTTTTATATAAATATGCACAAGTCCATTATCTAATGGTAATTTGCTGTCTTTCCTGCTGCACTTTAATTTCAACGAATTGGCCATTTCCATCTCCCAGGCACTGAATGCAAAGTCTTTGACAAACTGCCACACCACTTCCACTGATTCAACTCAGTGCGCTCCAACCATTGGAGTCTTCGGATTCAAAAATTAAAAAGTATAAATAACACAAATTTGTGGACATTTTTCACAAGTTCTTTGCAACCAATACTGTCAAAGCAGAGGATGCAATGCATCCATATGCAGAAGCATATAGCAGCTTTTGTGCACTTTGCAAAAAAAATATATATAAACAAAAAAGTCTTTACTGACTAGCTCTGTCTGTAGCTAGGAAGATGCTGTGCTGCTTCTGAGCTCTTTCCATTAAATTCTTTTTCTTCTTTCTCTTGTCCTTTGTTTTTGCTGTCCTCCTCCCTAATTGGAAAAAAGCACAAAACAAAACAAAATCATTATGTAAAGGCTTACTTGGCTTATTTGGTTCTTTGGAGAGAATGCAAAAAAAATATTCCAAAAGCTGGTCAGAAAACATGAGGGCTGAAAAAATATGTACTGTGTGGCAATGTTGACACAGAGAACATCTACAATGAAGAAAAACCAGAGGCAGCATGCTTCATACCTCAGGTCAACTGACTTGGGGCTAAAAATAGCAATGCACATGTTCCTGCTTTAGTTGGAGCCCTGGCTCTGAGATCCCCTCTCTGGGGCTATGTCTAGACTGCAGGCTTCTTTCGAAAGAGGCTCTTTCGAAAGAGCCTCTTTCGAAAGAGAGCGTCTAGACTGCACGGAGAAATTTCGAAAAAGCAGCTTGCTTTTTCGAAAGAAAGCATCCAGTGAGTCTGGATGCTCTCTTTTGAAGAAGCCCTATTTACATTGAAGAACGCCTTCTTTCGAAAGAGGAACTTTCGAAAGAAGGCGTTCTTCCTCGTGAAATGAGGTTTACCGCCATCGAAAGAAAAGCCGCGTTCTTTCGAATTAATTTCGAAAGAACGTGGCTTGAGTCTGGACGCAGGGAAAGTTTTTTCGAAAAAAGGCTACTTTTTTCGAAAAACCCCTGAGTCTGGACACAGCCTGGGTCTCAGAGCCCAGGTCCAGCCCAAGAGAGTTACTTTTATCCAAATCAGCTGGCTCTTCAAATTGATCCTGTGACTTTGTTTTTGCAGTGTAGACATACCCAAAACTACTGTGGTAATGTGTCAATAACCAGAATAGCAAATTTTCAAGGTACAGGCAGTCCCCGGGTTACGTACAAGCTAGGGACTGTAGGTTTGTTCTTAAGTTGAATTTGTATGTAAGTCGGAACTGGTACATATTGTAGGGGAAACTCTAGCCAAACATTTTTTTTTAGTTTTGGATAGCATAGGGAAAGGTTAACTCCCCTCTAATGTTTGTTTTGCTGTCTGTTCCCCTGTTCAGAAGATTTCACATCTATTTCTGTCCCTGTGACAAACTCAGGACTAAAGGAGTAACTCATCAAATACCAAACAGCTCTGCACCATGCTTTGAGCTAATAGCTTTATTTCCACACACCACCCAGGGTTCTAGGAGGAGGGTCCTTTTTTTGCTAACACAATGAGGCCAGCACTTTGTTTGTTTTGGTGGAGTCTTTGTTTGCCCAGGGAGCCCAGCATGTATAGGGGGAGGAGGGGCAGAGAGGCTGCTTTTGTCTGCTGTTCAGCAGCCTGTTGCTCAGGGGAGGGGGCAACCTGTTGCTGGCAGGGGGGGAGGGGGGAGGCGTGCAGGCTGCAAGGCCGCGGAGGGGGGGGCAGCGGGCGTGGGGAGGCACTTTTCCTCTGCCTGGCAGCTCTGCGGGATCCCTGTCCCTGTGGCCAGCTGCTGCAGGCAGAGGCCAGTTGGAGCCGGCCGAAGAGGAGGAGAATGGGGATTCTAGGACCCAGGTGAGCGAGCCCCGGGACGCTGCTGCGCTCCGGGAGCCCAGCATGTATAGGGGGAGGAGGGGCAGAGAGGCTGCTTTTGTCTGTTCGGCAGCCTGTTGCTCAGGGGAGGAGGCAGCCTGTTGCTGGCAGGGGGGGGGCAGCGGGCGTGGGGAGGCACTTTTCCTCTGCCCGGCAGCTCTGCGGGACCCCAGTCGGAGCCGGCCCGAGGAGGAGGAGGATCCTAGGACCCAGGTGAGCGAGCCCCGGGAATGCTGCTGCGCATGTGCGGGAGTTGCCTCACCCCGTTCGTATCTAGGGATCCGACGTAAGTCGGGGACTGCCTGTAGTGCATGAATAAATAAGGACTTCAACTCTTCCAAACTCTTAAGCAAGTGTTTAAGTGAAGTCCTGCTTTCTTCAATCAGGACCTTACACTTGTGCTCAATGTTCTTTTTGGTATGAATCTATTGGGCCTTTGATGGAAGCATACAGGTCCTATTGAGATAATATTATTTGAAGAGTATTAGAGACATTTTTACTGCTGTATATAGTCAGTGGAAAAACTGTAGATTTCAATCTCTAGAGCTGCCAACCCAGCACATTTCGGGAATACAAAATTCACTTAAGAGGATGAGAGTGGAGAAAAGTTAAGATCGCCTATAATATAAAAAACATAAACTATAAGGAGAAAGAATATTCTTTAGCAGAAGAGAAGTTTTCTTAGTGTGATATTGTCTTGCTTTTATAGGGTTTTTTTAAATGAAAGCAGACACAATGAAAAGTTATGAAACATTTTCTCCCATTTCATCATAAGAATTTAGATAAAGGGCATTGTTTAAAAAGAAACAAGGGTTATATAAATATATATAACAAGGGTTATATATCCTTGAACATTGCACCATTATATGTAATCATCATTAGGAGTTGATGGGGAGAAGAACACTCATTTTTAATTTTAAAATATAACAGCATTAAGCTAACAAGGGCATAGCTGTGGTCCCATATTAATATAATCAGAGTCTTAGGAGTTTTCTTCTGCTTCTCATTCAAGTCTGGCATTAATTCAATGATGGCATTTTGCCACACTTACATCTAAATTAGGCTTACACAGTAAAGCTCCAGTCCCACAGCCAATCATTAATCGGAGCAGCTTTCAAGTTAGAACTATTTAGTAACACTGTATCTAATGATCAGGCGCATCTAATAAGGTCAGAAAGATAAAACATTTGACAAAAAATGACACTAAAGCAAGGTGATTTCAATTATAAAAATGTCTATATCACATCAATATTTTCTCATGCAATTTTATTGGTTTGATCCAGGGATCATATAAAGTGATGTTTAAACAATTTCATATTGGGTTTTTTCATATTTTACATGTTTAAAATAGTTTTTAAGCCTGAATCTTGGAAAAGTTTATTTATTAACTGGCAAATGGTAGGAAGCAATTTTGAAAGTGGTGCTAAAGCTGCTGGTCAGATGAGCAGGGGGTGCACTCCTGCCTTCGTTGGAGTTTTGTGTCTGAAGCTGATCAGTTCATGACTCTTTTATCACTTTCCTGGGACCAGTGCATGCAGCATTCAGCAAAAGGAAGTTTAATATATGGTGACCATCATATTTTATTTTCTTTATGCTCCCTTCCAAATAGAATGCTGTGTGGAGTGTTCAATCAGTATAAGATGTAAACTGAATGCTGAAGCACACTGATAAAATGACCATGAAAGGACTGTATCCACTTATGTCAGCATTCTACCAGTTTACCTTTACAAATCACATTGCTAGTGTGCTATGTGAATATGATACCCGTTGGTAAAGAAGCAATGAAATATAACATACTTCAGTGGTTCGGTATCATAGTATAGTGCAGCAACAAGGACCATTTCAAGTATTTTCAAGGGATTAAGCGAGTCTATTAAAAAAACATGGATTTTGCCAAATACAATGACCATTTCACTGTTTTCCTTTTGGAAACAACCCTAGGGCTGAAGTAACTCCTGGGGGCTGGAATGGAGGGGATTGAATCAAGAGAGAGAATGCTTCAGTTCTGGAATGCTTCAGTTTTAAAGCTGCCTTGCCCTTCCTCACACCACACACACTACTGTGCTAACCTAGTGCAAGGGATAGACTTTCTCTTGGCAACATGTCAGTGCTGTGTGCTGTCTGAACACACATAACACCAAAGTCCAAATACAGTTTTGGATGGAGAGCTGTTGGTAATTTAAAAGGCATTCTATACACTAGCAAATCATGCTTGTTTTGTTCCTAGAATGCAACAGAATCTTGGGGTGCATCTACATAACACCCTTACCTCAAAATAAGCTATACAATTTGCAATATGCAAGTTGCGTAGCTTATTTCAAGGTAAATTCAAAATAGCTTATTTTGAAATTTGGCGCTGTCTACATAGCACCAAATTTCGAAATAAAGCGCTATTCCGAAACTTCCCCTAACCCTCCTATAATGAGGTTTACAGGGATGTTGGAATAGCGAGCCCATTATATTTCAATATAACAGGCTTGCTCTCAAGACACAGAATAGCTATTTTGGGATACCTCCAATATCCCAAAATAGCTCTGCAGTATAGACCTAGCCTTGCAGACTTGTGAAAAAAGTACTGAATTAAAAGGCTACCAAGTTCAAGCAAAGTTTCATTACATTCAAATTTATCTTAAAGTATTTACTTTGTCAGCAAATGTATGCTAAGAAGAAGAGAAAGAACTTTCTTACAATTTGCCACAGACTGTTCTATTGCAGAGTATTATGGCTTTGTATATTATGGTAGAGGAAGTAGGTCTATACAAAAGCACAAAATGTCAAATCTCAGCCAATCAGATAGCTTGTGGGCACCAGAAACACATGTAGGAAGAAGGAGGGAAAGACTTTTCCCCCAGGATAGCCAGAGAGAGGTCCTGCCACTGCATTACAGAGGTTTCTTCAACTGTGTGGATGAGGTAACTCTGGTGCAGAAGAAAGATGTGAACTAGCAGTCAATACTCTGGCAGCATCAACCCTCACAAAGCCACACCCATGTCTTGTCCCACCCATTGTATGTTGCTGAGCAAGCATCCCCATAGATCCAAGCCCCTTCCATCAGAGCAGAGTAACACAGGTCTGAGGTTCTTGGGGCTGCTAAAGAGAGGGTTAGATTTTACCCAAGGTCTATTCCATATACAGATTTCCCAGCACACTACCCAGAGAGAATGGCTCAAGGTTGGAATGTGGGCAGACATCATGAAGGGCACACAGGAGAGACGACAAGAGGAATCTGTGAATTCAGGAAACCACATGGACTTTTAGCTCCTGCCCCACCCTGATGAGGGTGAGGAGGAGGAAAAGGAGGTTCATTGTCCCAACCTCTGCTTAGCACCACACTTCAGAGAGGCAAGAACAAGCTGTGCCTCTCTAATTGATGGTTCAGCTCTCCATAAAGGATGCTTCAGCCTGTACCAGGCTCATGGTGAGGAGGCTGGTACAATCCCCCTCAACACTCCTTATACAGCTAGTCTCTAAAATCTACAATGTGGCCCTAAACCTGTCCTC